AGACGGGGGATGTGGGGGGGGGTGGGGACGTGATAAGATGACCAGGGAGTATATAGTGGACAGAGCGCTCCAGTGAGATACTTATTTCGAGTGGAATCGATCTGGGCACTTGAGGCTATTTCTAGTTCAGAGTTCACAGTTGTGTGTTCGGTGGATTGTAAAAAAAAAAATTACTTCGTTTCTCGTTTGTTAAATTCTACTGCGTGGACTTACCCATTTTCAAGGTATGTTGTAGCTGCAAAAATATTTAAAAAAAAAAAAAAAAAAAAAAAAAACAAAATAGAAATATGACACAAGACAGTATTCACGTTAGATAAGCAGGCGCGGAAACCATCATCCGTGGGAACGGTTAACCTTAACGTCATGCTTGTTTGACCTCGTCCCACACACAAGTGTTAAGTGTGATATCTAGGATGCGATAACCAGTCTCAAGGTAACTTAGCGTTTCCAACCGGAGGCAAAACTATTTTCGTAGGAATGTTTTTTGTCACACCCCCTCCCCCGCCTCCTCCTCCCCCCCCCCCATAGACACAATAAAAGCAAAATGTGAATTTAGAGTTGTAAAAATTCAAATTCATTTGTGAAATGAATCGCGTTATTAATTTACACCAAACATTAAATTTTTCCAAATCTGAACAGATTGACGATAATGTCTCATAACCCATCAAAAAAAGCCTTAAGCTAGGTCTCCAAACTTACCCCCCCCCCCAACCAACCACACCCCACCCACAGACACACTTTTCAGTGTGTACGTTGAACATAATACCCATTAAATTATATTATTTTACTGTATACCTTTAAAAAAAAATCAATCAACTTTTTCAAAGTTTTAAGCAATGTTTTGTTTACATTCTTTAAATGGTCTTTATTAAAAAGAAAAAAAAAACAACACATATGGAATCATACGTTTTGCCATACTGTCATACTACCTTTGTATTGAAAACTTTTGAAAAAAAGTAGAAAGTAGGCGATAAAAATTAATGATAAAATTGACAGTCCGATATGTCTCATGGGAAAAAACAAACAACAACAATTAAAAAAAACAACAAAAAAAATAAAAAAACAAGAAAATTACAACCGCACGCCAATGTTATACTGAAAAAAAAACGAGTTCGTTGCATTCTGTAGCCGTGTAAAGAGAGAAAACGGTTTGTCCCGCAAAAAGCACTAAGAATGCTATTGTAATATGTAGCTATACGGCTGCTAATGTAATGTGTAGCAATACGGCTGCTATTGTAATATGTAGTAATACGACTGCGATTGTAATGTGTAGCACTACGACTGCGATTGTAATGTGTAGCACTACGACTGCGATTGTAATGTGTAGCACTACGACTGCGATTGTAATGTGTAGCAATACGACTGCGCTTGTAATGTGTAGCAATACGACTGCGATTGTAATGTGTAGCACTACGACTGCGATTGTAATGTATAGCAATACGGCTGCTATTGTAATGTGTAGCACTACTGCTGCGATTGTAATGTGTAGCAATACGACTGCTATTGTAATATGTAACTATAGGGCTGTTATTGTAATGTGTAGCAATACGGCTCCTATTGTAATGTGTAGCACTACGGCTGCGATTGTAATGTGTAGCAATACGACTGCATTTGTAATATGTAGCACTACAATTGCCATTGTAATATGTAGGGATACAAATGCTATTGTAATATGTAGGAGTACGACTGCTATTGTAATATGCAGCAATACGACTGCTATTGTAATATGTAGGAATACGACTGCTATTGTAATATGTAGGAATACGACTGCTATTGTAATATGTAGGAATACGACTGACATTTCAATGCGTAGAACTAAACAATCTCTACTCCGTGGCAGGTAACTTTCTGCCCGTTTAGTAATGAAAAACTAACTCACTCATGCATTAATAAATATACACTGTGTCCGGAAAAACACAAAAAAGCTTGAACCCTTTTTAATCTTGATGAAATCTAATGGTAAATCTTTATAAACAAAATTTTGTTTTAAAATGCCAAAACTCGTTTTAACTCTAACGTAATTTTAAAGTTTATTCAACTATAGTTTGTGTTGGAAGTGTCCACCATTAGTTTTAACACAGGGTTCAAAACGAACGGGCTCTTCATTGACCAATCATTATCAAAAGGGCTCACTTGTTTTTCCGGAAACAGTTTTTATAAAACATATCTGTAGTCAAATGAATTTAAGTTTTAAAAAAAAAATGCTTGTCCTATCACATTTGGATTATTGTTAAATTTTTTAATTTTTTTTTTAAAAATCTTTTGTCAATTTAATACCGTACTTAAATTTTGTATATGCTTTGCTATTAAATTGCTCATTTTAAATGAAACAAATTATTGTGAACAATCACTTATATACTATTTCTTAATGAATCACAAGTAAGCTACTCTGTGGGTTCCGTAGAGATTTGGGCAATTGAAGAGTCTTTCTCGTGTAAATGGGGCGGCTAAAAAGTCTTACTACCCCCCCCCCGTAACCCCGGGTGCCACAAACCTATGTCATAGCTACGCCCTTAAGGTGGAAACTGACGCTGCTACGCTCCCCTAAGGGTCACATCGCTGGTACGTGTAGCAATGCTATCTCAGTGTGCGGCGTTACTACACTCATTTCAGAAGATCGTGTAACTAAAAAAAAAAAAAAAATCAGCAGAAGAGAAATGTTAAATCTATTTGAAAACTTGGCCGCGATTCAAATGCAATGTGTCATAAATCGAAACAGTCTTGTTAAGGATCTTAAGTCTGTGGGGGAAAAAAGGGAAGGGGGTGGGTTAAGGGGGGATACCAAAGGAACCACGTGACGCGATTCAAGTTGAACGATAACGACATAAGACGGGTTGTTAGATATTATCTCCATCTTGCTATGTTACTCGGTGTGACTTTTATACACGTTTTGGTTACATATCATAAATATTCTATGGATGAAACCACCTAGATTTACAGCTTACTTAAAGAAAGTGCTAGCTATAGGCCCATTGTTTGAGTAAATACATCGGTACAATAGACGATTTTCAGCCGATTTGTCAGCACAACCCTATCTCTAGACCTGGTCGACGGATATTTCCATATAGCATAGTTACCTGTTCCTGTATAAACATAATTATGATTATAAGCCCTTCTTCATCTGGCCTTGTTAAAGCATTTGGTTCTAAAGGGAAATATAGCTTTCATTCTGCTATAACTGGGAATTGGGATGACATTCATTTTTAATAACATTTTACATTTTTTGAAAAATGCAAGCATTTATAGCTTAATGGTTGGGTACATTGCTAGCTGACCGGGTACAGCGTTAGCTGTCTCATGGGTACATTGTTAGCTGTCTGGGTACATTGTAATCTACTTGGTTAGAGAGCACCGTGCTTAGGCCAGGTTATACCAGCCACATTAGAATCGCAGTGTGTGGGTTCATCTACTTGGTTAGAGAGCTCCGTGCTTAGGCCAGGTTATACCAGCCACATTAGAATCGCAGTGTGTGGGTTCATCTACTTGGTTAGAGAGCACCGTGCTTAGGCCAGGTTATACCAGCCACATTAGAATCGCAGTGTGTGGGTTCATCTCCTTGGTTAGAGAGCACCGTGCTTAGGCCAGGTTATACCAGCCACATTAGAATCGCAGTTCGTGGGTTCTGCCTTGCTACACGGCATGATACCTTAACGCGTTTATTTATTTATTACTTCATGAGATTTGATCTAACTGCTAAATGACACATGTCTGTATGACTATTAATCCCAGTAAAATTCTGAACCCCAATTCCCCTGCCGGGATGGTAAAATCAATGATGGTCAACAAATGGACGTTTTAAAACGTATATTGAAGCCCCTACTACAAAATATTATTCCTCGCTATTCGGAACCAGTGTGGGAAATGGCATACATGTCGTTTTAGACGAAATGCTTGATGTATTTGTGTAATCATGCGCGACTTCAAGTTCGATCCCGCCCCGTCTCTGAAGCACACCAGTTTAACCATCAATACCTTGAGCCCCCCCCCCCAACCCAACTTTGTTATCAAAACGAAGTGTTCACGGCAATGACGAGGTGGTCTTATACGTGATATTATTCCGCAATGTTTGTTACACACACACGTGGCGGTGAATCCACTAGTGAAACTTGGTTTGTACATCTTTAAATGGATTACCGTTTTTTTGTTTTTGTTTTTTTTTGTTTGGTTTCCAACCAGAGACACCTGTATCAGATTAAAAGGTTGACGTTGGCAGGCAAGAGATTAGAAACTGCTGAACTATTTTAAGTGTCAAACAAATACGTTTTTAAATTGTTATTTATTATTATTTTTTTTTTAAAGTGCAGATTCAAGAAGAATCTGTCACAAAGCTGATCTTGCAATGAAATGAACTCCGTCATCCCAAAAGGTGGGTCCCATCACTTCGCACGGTTACCCCCCCCCTCCCCCCCCCCAAATCGTCACCTGATTAACAACTGTTAAGTGTAGCTTAAACAACCCTCCCTTGATAACCAGCATTCAGTGAAGCGGTTCTTGGAGCAGGTAAATCGAAACGATTAGATGGGATCGTAACAAGATTGAACAAATAGGGATCTTTGCTAATTTAAAAATAAAAAAACTCATTTCCAAAGTGTCGACCATCTTATTGTACATACGAGACATATTTTTGTTCCGAAAACATTTGATGTCATACCATGACGCAGTGTATTGACCAAAAATAACAACAGTTATACCTTGCCTTCGTTTCTGGGAATTAGAAAAAAGTCCTCGCTTTCTGTTCAAAATTTCGGTGACCTTTAGCAGAATTTCTTTTTTAGTGCACACAAAGTTGCGAGCGACATCTTTAAAGAGATGATGAATACATTAATTTCATCGGTGTAACAAATGATTTAAAACCATTTTAGGCAACTGCACCAAACGTTTCAATAATCTTGTACCCAATTCTCTTTCATTTCAGATCCCCTGCCGCCATGATGCTCCGGAAAGGCTCACTATCATCATTTGTCATCTGCTTCTTCATCACTTCCTGTCAGTCCAGGATTTCGGAATCCGAGCTGCTGTTCCGGATGCTGAAACCCGAGGAGGATCTAAAAGTTAACGGGGGTGAAGGTCGAAAATCTACCTCGCCCGAGTTCCTCCCCATTAACCTGAGGGAGAACATCGACCCCGGCGGCAAGGACGTCACGAAAACCGACGCGAAACAACTCCAGAAACAGCTCGGGAGATCCTTTGAAAGAGACTACATGTCCATCACCGACCCGTCGCTTTCGTCCAGCCAACCCGCAATCCAGTTCATCAACGGGAGACCCAAGGGTCAGCGTCCCTCGTTCCTGAAGCTTTTGAGAGGCGCGCGTCTTCAGGACGGGACGAAGATCAAGCTGAGGATCGACGAGCGATCCCGTAAAAAGGTCCAGAACTACATCTGGGCGCTGACGCTGTGCCCCGTGGTGCACACGTGGAGAAACCTCGGGCCGCAGTACTGGCCGCGGTGGATCAAGGAGGCGAGGTGCTCCACCAAGGTGTCGTGCTCCATCCCGAAGGGCATGACGTGCGCCCCCAGCGCCAAGACGTTCAAGACGATCCTGAGGTGGCACTGCGGGGACCCCAGGTCGAAGTTGAACTGCAGTTGGATCACCATCAACTACCCGGTCATCACGGCCTGCTCATGTGGTTGCTGATGCGAGAACCGGAGAAGAGGAAGAGCGATCCAACGAGTGCAATCTTTTATCTTTTCATATGTGTTCAAGAAGAACAACGGAGAACTTCGAAACAAAGGGATTTTGTTAAGATATAAAAATATGACACCTTGTGCAGCATTTGTGAATACTCTTTTGACACCCCCCCCCCCCCCAAAAAAAAAAAAAAAAAAAAAAAAAAAAAGGACAAAGTCATAAGATCACAAAATATGTCTTAGAATGTGAACGTCAAATAAGCCGAGGACTTAGACGAAATATATTGAGTGTGGAATGTTTCGGTGAATCATTATACACAAAGAAGCATGAAGCAATTACTGACATCTTACTAGAGAGCGAACCTTATGCCAGGGTTTAAACACAAGACCGTGTGGTCTGGGGTTTCATGCGTTAAATATGTTTTACGTATTTCATGATACAGCCTCGGTGTTCAAGTGTTGATTCAAAATACACTGAAGGTTTTCATAATTTTATTTTTAAATATGAAATTTTATCGTATAAAACTGCATATCAACTTTGTAATGCAATTGATGACAGGGAAAGAGAGAGAGTGCAATTTGAGACAGGGAAAGAGAGAGAAAGAGTGTTTGAGAGAGAGAAAGAGAGAGAGAGCGCGCTCGAGAGAGGGAGAAAGAGAGAGAGAAAGAAAGAGAGAGAGAGAAAGAGAGAGAGAGAAAAATAAAAAAACAATATTTATCTTTTGGAGAGAAAGACAGATTGAAATAATGAGGGAAAGTGAGAGATCGAGGCAGAGAAAGAGAGAAAAATGGAGTGTGATAAATAATTTATGAGGTGGGGGGTGTGAAAGATAATGAAACACATCGAGAGAAAGAGAGAAAACTGCATGTGTGTTAACGGTCTACCAATCGTGCAATTGTAAATACTTAACTTGACAATACTACTACCATCTCTGTGGAAGATTTGTAACGTGTCCTGGGTTGCTTGCAATAGCTTTATTGACATGAATTAGGACCTTGCCCTGACTAGACTTAGACATTGTGCGCGTGACATTAGATGCTGTCCTGACAAGACTTAGACATTCTGGACGTGACATAAGGACATTGCTTTGACTAGACTTATACCTACTGGACGTGAAGAGAGAAACGTGTCCTGACTAGATTAGACATTCTGGACTTGAAGCTAGGGCCTTGCTCTGACCAGACTTAGATATTACTGACGTGTAGATGGAAAAAAAAATGACTGTCTTAGACAAACATATCACAACATGATTATTGACGCGACAGTAAAGCACCTCGCTCCGACAACCCAAAAGCTGACCGCGCCTCAACATAAAGCTGTACTGTCGACGCGAACTCGGCACTTTGTTTCTGACTAAACACGTCATTTCACGCAACTATTGTACAAAAATACTGTGATATCTATGTGTCCAGCTCATAACACAAAACGTTTCGCCTTTAAGGGGAAAACAAAACCAATCACCAAAAAAACAACACATCCGATTAAAAAATAATTTTAAAAAATTGTAAATATTTTTGTACTGCTGCCTGGGAATTTTCGATTGTAAAATAAAATGTTAATTCATTTTTTGTTCTAGAATGGTTTTTGTTCTTATATGTTTCTCTTTAAGGGCTTTTTTTAAAAAAAAAATTTTTTTAATTTTTTTTTTTCTTAAAAGATTATTTTTTTAATGGCTTCGTTTACTGTGCATGTGTTTTTATCTTGTACGGTTATGGCCAGGACTTTACACTTTTGTATTTTCAAATATCAACTTGAACATGAAGTTAGCACGTTCAATATCAAATTTAAATTAATTTAATTATCAAGTTAAATAGGAAATTAAATATCGATATTAAAATACAAAATTAAATATCTGGTTAAATATCAAGTTAAATATCAAGATGAATATGAAGTTAAATAAAAAGTTAAATTTAAATTCGAATATCATCTTGAATATCAAGTTGCAAATGTGGTTGAAAATGAAGATGGATATGTAGTTGAATATATCAAGCCTAATAGCGAGCTAATTATGAAGTCAAAGACCAAGTTGAATCTAAAGGCCAAACATGGGACTTAGGTGACCGGGATTTAGGCCTATGTCTATTTCCTGGCCATCCTCAACCCTCCAATACTCGCCTCCGCCCCACAGTCCCACTCTCCTCCAACACCACAGCACCACTCTCCTCCGTCCTCAACAGTCGGAATCTCTTCCGTCCTATGCGTCCACTCTCCTCTATCCCCACAACCGCACACTCCTCCGTCGCCACAGCCCTACTCCTCTCTGCCCTTACAGCCCTACTCTCCCCCGCCCTTATAGCCCCACTCTCCTCCGCCCTTATAGCCCCACTCTCCTCCACCATTACAGCCCACTCTCCTCCGCCCTTATAACCCCACTCTTCTTCCCCCCACAGCCCCACTCTCCCCCGCCCTTACAGCCCCACTCTCCTCCGCCCTTATAGCCCCACTCTCCTCCACCCCACAGCCTCACTCTCCTCCGCCCCTATAGCCCCACTCTCCTCCCCCCACAGCCCCACTCTCCTCCGTCCCCCACAGTCTAGCTGGCGGTAGATAAGCCAGCCGTCTTTTTTTTTTCATTAAGCCTCGCCACGGCTGAATGCGCGCTTTGACGTCAACTCTTGGCACTATGTCATCTATGGCAAAATGACCTTAGATGTTCAGATTTACATTTACAGGTTCGGCTGTCTCTGTAAACACTAATGAGGCTTATAAGCAATGTAACTTGACCCTTTAATTCAGTCCACACCAGGGGGCGTCCATTCTTAACGTCAACAAAATAGGAGGGGGCAAAAGCGTAGAGAGGGGGGGTGCAGTGGGGACAGATGTCCCCGAGCGCCAGCTAGTTAAGGGCGCCAAAATGTGCTTTGATATTATTTTATTGATGAAAATAATGGGTTTGAGAGTTGAAAAAAAAAGAAAAAGGGGCGCTTTCATATTGATCTTGTCCCCGGGCGCCAAACACCCTCGCTACGCCTCTGGGGAGGGGGTTTGAAAATGCTTGACAGGAATTTGACAAGGGGAGGGAGGGAGGGGTGTTTAGATCGTGTTTTTTTTCTATAAAAATTTTGATCTTAAAAATTGACAGGTTCTCAAGTTATTTTAAACAATGTAATGAGTGTAAAAAGTCCTATATGTTTAGGCTTTTAACACTATAAGAGTTATGTATTGTGTGTCTGTGCACTGCAGATGGCTGGTCAGGATGTTAGCACACTTTGTTGGTGGTGCAAGATAAGTCAAAAGTTGACATTTCTTCACCGGTAACTCTTCTCTTAATGCGCTCCCTAGAATGATTAGCACATCATTGTTGTACAAGGTGTTCAATTGAAAAAAAAATAACCCAACTCATCGGTGCTCAAAAAAAAAAAAACTATACCAACTCAGAGACAGAGAGAGCTTGTGGCAATTATTGCTCACACCGACAATACTTCTATTTTAAGTGCTGAATGGTTAGATAAGGATGATGTTGACTTGTCTGGAATATCAGTGCCGCAAGATGGAAATGATAAATCAGCTTCTATAGACTATGCCAATAAGGGGCGTCATTTCAGGTTTTTTTTAGGGGAAGGGGGGGGGGCAAAAACGAAAACTTGGTCGGCTTGTTAAGTTGTTTATTATATTACTGAAGGCGCCACAGTACATAGAAATTTAAATAAAACCAGCAAAATCAGTGGGGGGACTCCTCCCCCCCACAGCCTCACTCTCCTCCGCCCTTATAAATAAAACCAGCAAAATCAGTGGGGGGGGGGGGGAAATGCCCCCCCCCTCCTGCTCTACCCAAATGATGTCCCTGATGCCCATTGTTATGATACAGTAACACCTGGCTACTTAATGGGAAGATAATGGCAGCTAGAAACTATGCTATAATTGTCAGCTATACTGACAATAATCATATTTATACTTCCACTAAACAATGATATTTAGTCTTTAACAACCCTCTACTTCATTCGGCATTATAAAATGTAAGTGTACACATTTTTTAACTTGTTGATTAACAAGCTAAAGATGTAATAAAATGATGCCCTACAATTTTGTGTGATTTAAAATAGATCAGCACAAATTAATATGCATTTATAAATTTATTTATACTATAATGAATTATTTATTTTATTTTTTATTTTTTTTTGGGGGGGGGTTGGGGGGTGGGATAAAATGTTGACATAATTAAATAGGGGGGTCATCGAAAGTTTGACAGGCGTTGACAAGGGGGATGAGAAGAGGGTAAAAAATTATTGACGAAATTAACGGACGACCCCCAACAGTGATGTTATTTGGTTTTTTTTTGGGTTGTGACATTGACATTGATGTTATCCTACATGATGACCGTGTCATGTGCAGTGACTAATATTGACGTCCGCTGTATATGTCATGTTGACAAATTTGCCATCTTCACTACAAGACGTCCTAGCGCCACCCCCCGCCCCCAACCACCCATGTTACAGGAATGGCTTTGTCTGTCAATGCCGTTAACTAAGTTAAACACTCATAAATGCCTGCCGTTTGACCCGCCGCGTACCTTACAGTGGGGCTGCACAACTCAAAATGTAAGGCGGGCCGTTTTACTTTATGAAAAAATTGTGCGGACTAAAAGAAAATAGGGGCTGTTAAGACAAAAAAATAAGAATAAAGAATATTTCGATACTTCGCCGCATGTTGTGCAGGCCTGCTTTAAAGGAGACCAAAAAAAAACGGGGGGGGGGGGGGTGCATTTAAGGCTTTAAACTGTATAAGAAAAGATATGATGTGTGCTAATTAGAAGGGGATGCCCGCTTGAACGTTCGCCCCCCCCTTCCCACCCCCCACAGCGTCTATTAGATGAAGACACGCCTTTTTATTTGTCAACGTATTCGTTCCCGCGGTGCCCAAAAACGACATTCCGAAAAAATGAAAACAAAGAATGAACCTCCCGAAAAAATCGAGTGTGTTCCTCTGGTCACACGCATTGTAGTAGTACACTGTACAACCATTGTAGTAGTATGCTGTGCAACCATTGTAGTAGTACACTGTACACC